AGATCAGTGACTTTGGGAGAAATCAAAGAGAAGTAGCAAATACAGAAGATTCCAGGAGGCAATAAAGCATTTATGCAAAATGTCTCATAAAAACAAAACAAATTAGAGGAAAGAAGCTATATGGGAGGAGCAGGGCAGAGGTACTTACACTCTTCTTCCATAACAACTATTTTAGTTTCTGAGGCTGGTAAGACTTGTGGTGCTTTCGTTGTTCCTGGGGAAATTAAGGTAAGAAAGTAGTGAACAAAATATCTGTTTTGAGTAAAGAAGGGCTTAGCTGCTGCAGGGAGGAGGATGCGAGCAGGTTCTGCTGGGTGATGCAGGCTGGGGTGGCTGTCACCGTGTTAGTGCTGTTAGAGTACACTCATCCGGTAACTGGGTAATGGAGGCAGAGGAAGGAGTGCCCCTGCACAGGGCACACGGCCCCTTGCTGTGAAGGGCCTCATACCATTAGGATCTTGGTCGTGATAAAAAGGCAGAAACAGCTCAGGATTCACCTGGCAGGTGATGAGCGGAACTGTGGGAGGTTTACTTAGCCCTGACAGCCATGAGAATGCAAACACATGATTGCGAAACACAACACAGAAAAACGTGGAGTTGAAGAAAAGGTGGGATCACCTGAAGAGCCTCCATCCCACAAGTATGTGCAGTTCTGCAGCACAAAGTAATGCTTGTGCGAGAGATGGAGGAACATGAAGGCCATGGCTCAAGGCAATAGGGGAACCCAGCATGTGTATCAATTTCCTCTTTATAAACCAGGATGCTGGGAAATCCAGTGTCCACAGTACCAGCTCTACTCAAGCCTGCTGGCAGCAAAAGCCCCTTTGGGATCAAAGCCCCTTACCACCCTCTCCTCTAGATGCACAAAGGAGAAGGGACTGGGAGCCTACACTGTACATGCAGCACCCTGTCAGAGAAAGAGGGTGAGACAACCATAGAAAGGTGAAAGCAGAAAGAATTTCTTATAAAAGTTTGATTTTTCCTGCAGTGTTTAGAAAAGGAGGGGGAGGATGCGTATAGACATTTTCTGAGGGAAAAAAAAAATTTGAAACAGTCACATCTCAGCTGTGTCCTCATGCCCATGTGATACCAGTATTTTACTACTCAGTGAAGAGAACTTGGAAATGGGAAATTTTTCTTAGAAAGCATAATTTACCCCAAAGTAATAAAAATCTGAAAATAGCACCAAAGGACAGTATGTTTTGGCTAAGCCCAGAGGCATTTCCTCAGAAACTGACACCCTCCCAAAGCTTTTCAATGCAAAATGATTTCTTCTTAGACAGGCATTTTGTGGAAATACCAGAAATGCAGAGAGATGAGGTGATGGGTTTTGCTGATGGGTGTTTTCTAGGTGACAAGGGGCTGCTCTGATTCTAAAGAAAATCTCTCTCCACTGTTAGTGTGCTTGGTGATTTGCAACAGAACTAACTGCATGGCTGAAAAAGGGCTCTTTTAAGACTGATATAAACCGAAAAAGCAGTAGTAGAATAGAGAAAAGAGTACTCTCTTTGCAAAAAGTAGCAAATGGCAATGCTGCCTCATTAGGCTGAGAAATTTTTACCATCAGAGACTCTGACCTGAACATTCATGGGCCTGAGAGTCTCATGAGTGAGCTCCTTCTCTGCCTGCCAAGACTCAAGTGGGCTCAGGAGCCCTTGTCCCTGGCCTCTGCACCCTGGAGGGGAACAGCACGTTAGGGAGAGGACACTTCGCTCAACCACGATACTCATCTCGAGCCTCGACAACTCAGGCCACCACTTTCAATGCCACTTCTCTCCAGGGGTACCCAGAGATGTCCCCAGACCTCATGCCTCTGTATCACAAGATGCAGTGTTAGCTCAGGAGTTTTTCCCACTCCAGGATTCACCCGCCTGTATCACAGCAACATTACAGGACCTCCAACCATACTGCTAAGTGTTAGGTCAGAAAGTGTGCTTCCAGCAGACCATCCCAGAGCATCAGTCCCAGCCAGCCTTCCTGGAACAGGCTCCTAGAGACACAGCAGCAGTGAAGAATCAGAATATAGAGCAGCAGAACATACAGAAACAGCTATAGCTGGAGTGAGCTTCTGGGAAAGAGGGGAAAGCTCTGAGCAGAGGCCAGCTTGCACCATCTGCTCTGTTATAAACTGCTACAACTTCACAGAGCACTGTGTGGAGACTTAGCCACAACAGGATCAGTGCTAAGGAGCCTAGGGAAGAATGCAGGCAGGGACAGAAGAATGCAAGACAACAACAGACATGGATTCAGAGACAAGCAGATGCTCTGAGCGTTTTCTACTGAAAGATACCGCAGAAGAAGGGAGCTTGCAGAAGTGAGGAAAGCTGTCAAGGTCCCAAGAAGTCCCAGCAGAAACAGAAGAGGGAGACTCCAGCACAACATGTGCCTGGGCACAGATGAAAGCTTCTCGGCTCTGGATACCTCCAGGGGGAAATGAAAAAAGTGCACAGGAGGTGACTGAGCTGCAAAAGCCTACAGTAATCACCATCATCTTGTTTACCTTCGCAAGGGACTACAACTAGCATTCAACTGTTGTCCAGGTGACCTGCAAGCACAGCAGCAAGGTGTGCATGCAGTTGAGAGTGGCATGCCAAAGGCAGTTTTGGAAGGCAATTTAGGAAACTGATTAATCCAGGACACAGCAGGCAATCTATGGGATCTGCAGCACCTTGCAGCCTGCAGCTCCCACTAGGAAAAGGTACAGGCCATACCTTTGGGTCTCTTTGGTTGCTTTTCAGGTCTCAACACATTTCTGGGCATCTCAGGTATGTCCTCTTACCCCCTGTGACTTGAGTGAGAGCAACCACCTGCCTTTGCCAGACAGCATGCCTTCCTGCAGAGGGAGAGTCAACTCCAAATGCTGCTGTTACCTGCGCACGCAGGAAGGGGGAGTCCGAAGGTGTAGTGGCCTGATGTGCATCTTCCTGGTGTCATAAAGAGTGTGCAGGATCAGAGCCTTGCAGCAGATGCTGTTGTCACACTCTTGTGAAAGGGAATTGCTAGTGTCTGCGAAGGGCAAGTGGAGGAGGCAGACAGGGTTCCGATGGCAGGCACATGCTACCTATGCATGTTGCACATGGAGAGGAGGAGTTGCACATGCACCTCCCAGTCAAAACAGGAATAATTTATATTGGAATTTGACAGCCAGAGGGTGAGCCAAAAAAAAGGAGAGGCACTGACTCAGCTTACTCTGGACATCTTCCTTATTGCAACTGGAAAGAAACACAGCAGAGCAGTAGGGTTCACTTCACAGGTGTGAAGCATGAAGGCATAGAGCATGGATGGCCTTTCTCCAGACTTTGCTTGCAAGCAATGGATTTTTACAGGCAGAGTAATGCAGAGGCTATGTGATATTGCAGTTTGACAGAATAAAAGATTCAGGACTGCAAACACTGCTAAGGCAGAGGTTAACAGAGAAAATAATGCCAGAATGCAGGAGAGAACTACCTGCCCTCACATTTGACTAATGCTAATAAGAGCACAACAGAGAAACTGGATCCCACCAAAGGGCGGCAGAGCACAGAGCCCAGGCTCCCGCAGCAGCCCACTGTGAATGGCAGGAGGAAGAGCTTAGGAAACAGAGCTTGTACAGAGTCATCCTTCCCCTAGTCGCACCCTCCTGGCTTCTGGCAACAAATGTAGGGACTTTCTGAGCTGGAGGGTGCATCCAAACCATCATGTTAAGCAATATAATTATTGTGACCAAGATAATAATAAAACCACCTAACCTCAGACTCCATCCGCTGAGCTCTGAGAGATGGAGCACACATTCTAGGATGAAAACCAGAAGCAACTTCACTCATCACAAAGCTATGGTTTAATTACTTATCTTCTGGTGAGTTTTGCTTCTCAGAAATTAAAGAAAAAAAAAAAGAAAAAAGAAAACATCAAGCCCACCAGCTTTCTTTCCTCCTTACCCCTTTAAAAAAATACATAGACTGCAAGTTTATTTAAAATGTAAAATAACCACATTGCCCGTGACAGATAACAAAGATAAACATTTATGCTAAGCTGCATTCTTCTTATCTCCCAAGATCATTTTACTCGATATCCTGAAAGCATAAAACAAAAGGCAAGACAGACCATATGCAGAACCTCCCACTTTCTGTTTGAATGGCAGACAGCTCAAGACATTTTCTGGCTCCTTCACTTACCACTTTTCACATTCAGGCTGCCCTTTGCGGTGTCTTTCCCTCAAACGTTCTCTGCTTCGCAGCTGTACTCCCCAGCATCTTCCAGCTTCACCTTGTTGAACTGCAGTCTGGAAATCTTTCTGTTGAAAAGTAGAGTAGACATTTCTTACTCAATTGCTAACCATCCTCATGAATTGATAACCATTTCTGGCCCTGGTATGCTGCCTGGTACTTCACCCCTTCTTGAGAGGATGGGCTGTCTCACCTCACAAGTTGAATAGGCACTCAAGTGTCATCAGTAAGACCCTTCCCAGGAATCACAACCACCATGATTTCCTAAATAAACATCTCCCTCTGAACCCACTGTTTGTAGCATGTTGCCACGGTTTGGTCTGACCCCTACTCTCATTTGCACAGAAAGTCTTGCAAGGGCTTGACCTCAAGAGTACCAGCGCCCCAGCACACAGACTTGCTGCACTGAAGAAAAGTCACTTTCCTGATGGACAGTGGGAGATGCGGAGATGCCTGTTCTGAACCTTCCTCAGCAACAAGGTGGAGTAGTTTGGTGCTTCACTGGCTGTGTTCAACAGTGCCAAACACTCTCGAACACCCATGGGGTCAGGGGGGCTCATCCCTTTCCAGCCTGTAAATCAAAACCCTCTGGTTTCACCTAGACAGCTAGCTTGTAGCTTTATCCAGGCTAACAAACAGGGCAAACACTTTCTCTCCCCCAAATCCACACACTCCAATGTACTACAGACATGTGGGGCTGAACTGCATGCAATTGTCTTATCAGCCAGAAGTGCCTAGGAGAGCAGAAGACAACATATGTGATGACTGCCTGTGCCAACCTAACAACCTGTGCTGCATGCTTCATGGAAGAGCAAGCAGCTCTGCGACAGAGATCTGCAGTGCTGGAGGGAAGGCAAGCATCGCCTTTCCCACCAGCTATGACTGATGTCTCATTCTCTGGGACATCTCTCTAACAGGGAAACCCTTCTGTTGTAAAAAGATCTGTAGGAGCCTTCAACACACACTGAATAAATACCATTCATGAGACCACAATGGGAATACTACATTAGGCCCTCCATTTTACTACATTTCCTTTGATTTTAGCCATCTTTCCTAAAACCATAGTGTGTACTCTTCTTGTGATAACATCCCTATGCTTTCTACCCCGTGCTTTTATCTCAGGTCTGTGTCATTTATCTGTCATTTAACTGTCATAACAGTTGCTTTATTTAGAGACTTGGAAACACTGCCAGTTTTAGAAAGAGGTCTCAGTTGCCTATGTCACTGAAGGCAAATAAAACCCCTTTCATGTGGAAAATAATCATTAGCTTCAGACATATTTGCAATGTTACATGTGTCATCTGAGAAGGACTTTTCTTTGGGCTGTGCAAATCATCATCCATAGGAAGTCCTTCACAGAAGCACACTGGAATTAACACCCTGACGTGCTGTTCTACTGGGAGATGTGGCACAAGGAGACAGCATGAACATCTCACTAGTTATATTAGTAAATTAAAAGCACTTGAAGACAACTTGGTACAGCTTCCAGGATACAGGCGCTGCCCTGTTTTACAGGATGCAGTCCTGTGTTCAATTGCAGGAGTTTAGGCCCCATGGGGTGCAATTATTAAATGAATGTTGACAGTATGCAAAGACTTCTTGAATCTTTCTAATCCTATGTCTCCCCTAACCCACTGTGCAATGCCAGTAATTTGGGCCAATGTGTTCCAACATGGGTGTCAAAATAGCAGGCTGATTCAGAGTGGTGAAAAGCTGCCTTGACTCCCAGTGCTGTACACTCCTCTGAATCTTCTCAAGACTCTTAGAGCAACCAGTGACAGTTCTGGGCATCTCCTCACTTCTGTGATGGCGCAGGAGTCAAGCAGCATGCAAGAGACAGCAAAGCATTTAAGGGTCTCCAGGGACTGTTGCTGCCTGGTGGCAGTTGGGCTCTGCATCTTGCTGTGGGGGTATGACGGGCACCTGATGAAGGGGTTTGTCCCTGTTGGGCTGTAGTGCCCAGTCTAGGACCACATTCCCACTCCCTCCATAGAGGCAGGTGTAGGAACACTTGGTAAAGGGGCAAGGTGGGCTCCTGGTTCCACCACGACTGTCCCCAGCACAACACAGCCATTACTTTCTCTCAGCTTTCTCAACCCTCATTGACTGAATACAGCATCTGTTTTATAAACCACCTCCAAGACAGGCTTGTAGCTATTGCTGCAATCCAGAGCAAAAAGGCAGGCAGAACATGTTGAATGCATCTTGGAAGAGCGAAGCTCTAATTCCAAGTCCTGTAGAAAACACCACCCTCGCACACCAGCACGCTGAGACTATCTGCCAGTGCAGAGCTGAAAGCATTAGCCAACATGCTGTCTGCAGCTGCCCGTGTACAGCTACGTATTCGAATGATAATTGGCTGCATTCCAATCTCATATGCACAGCATGTTCCATCACGTGTAGTAACTAGAAAAATCCGCTGCAGCATTAGAATATCACCTATGTACGTGATCTTGTACAGATAAAGAATTTTAAGTCGCAGGGATACAAATTAGTAAGTTATTAGTGACACAAAAGGCTAATGAAAGGGGGCACACTTGACAGATTCACCTCCAAGAACAAGATGAGAGACATTTGGCATTTTACCTGGAACTGGGGTGGAATGTGAGCAGAATGAAAAGCAGTGTTGGCGTTTATAGCACATCAGCATCAAGGTGAAAACAAAGGGGATTATTTTGTTTTAATGCACAAGACTGTTGTACTGTCAAAAGAACCTATTTTTATTTTCCATCACAGTTTGTTGAACTTCTCCTGGATTGTAAGATCCCCTGGAAAAATCAAGAACTTTTTGTTGCTTTTCATACCCCAGACCAATGGTGTAGCTATTCTTGGTCTCCACATTGTGCTCTATGTCAAGTAACAGATCTGGAAGAGATAGATGAAGCGTAGAGACAAGGATAGGTTTTAATGTGGAGCACAGACACAATAAAGATATTTTCCTTATTCCAGGAAGCCCTGAACCAGAAGTACCTTGTTTCACAAGCATTAGCCATGTGCCTTTTAATTCACATGAATAATGCCTGTGCACTAGAAGAACTGAGCTAAAGGATGTAAACCAAACTAGATGCTTGATCTGTGTGTAGCAAAGATAAAGATGACCAGTCTGTCTCTGTTCTATTTTACTATCTCCAAGTGCTACTGAAATAACTCAAAACTGCCTAGGAAATTGTTTTTTCAAGTTGGTGTTCTTCCTCCTGCTGCCCCTGAGGGCAGGTACTTTGTTCACTTGAGGCTGAGGCATGGTTTTACAGAAATACCAAGTAGTAGCATATGAGCAATAATGTTGTGCACAGGAGTTTTGTATCAAGTCCCCTGCTGACCTTCTGGGCAGTGGGTTTCTCAGGGATGCCACCCCCTGGGAAAGCCCCACCACGTGCGTTCACAAGGGTTTCTGGCTGAAAGACGATGCCATTCTTCTGGGGGAACGCGCTGCCCCGGGCTGTTTGTTCAGTGAAAGGGCCAGGGTCACTGACAGATCCCATCATTTCACTGCAGTGCAACTCTGCTGACATTTCTTTACTCCAGGGGGAAATCCGCCGCATTGTCTTTTCTGACCCTCAGCACATATGACTGAGCCACGCACTAATTATCTCCTGTAGTGCCAGTGGAGGAATAAGCCATAGGGAATATTTTGTCTGCAAGCTCTGGGGGATAAAATCCACAAGGAGACCTTCAGCCTGGCCAGAAGATCCCCCAAAATACCTTTCTGGCCAAGAGAAAAGAGTCTCCCAGAGGGCAATTTGGAGTGATGAGTAAATCACCCTCTGCAGTGCCAATCTCCAGACTACAATGGGAATCAGAGAGATCAGCCCTTGGCTGGGACCTACAAAGACCCTGGCAAATTTTGGCTGGGAGGGGTGGCCTCATCTGCTGTAATTTAGACATCTCCAAATTAGACATCTGAATGTGAGCTTTGTCCCTGAGGCCTCCAGTGTAGTCAGAGGAAAAGAAACGGGCACTTCTCTCAGCCAAGGAGGAACTTTTCATTACAGGAGTCATGTTCCCACCAGCACTCTAGTCAAGCTTGAATTATTTTTCTCCCCCTCTCTAGTGCCAAGTGGAAATGGGACCATCCTCCCAGGTCATCTCCTCACAAAGCCATTCATCTCAGAGCATGTGATCAGGAGAGCAGCTGCCATGAGCTGCCTCCAAGACACCTACATTACACTGAGGACTCAATGTTCCCCAGGCGAGTTCAGCTGCTTCTGCATCATTCAGGTCAAAAATAGCTCTAGGATTACTACTGTTGTATTTTATTAGTCTTCTAAAAATAGGGTAGCTAACACGTAATTAATAAAGAAGTCAAGGAATAAGCTGATGAAGAGAATTTCTAGACTACACTGTATGTAGCCCCTAAACTGTCAATGAAGAACACTGCACCTAGTAAACACACCGGAGATCCTAGGAAAAGGAAATTCCCAAACATGACCCCTGCAAAGGACACACTGAATACACTGCTGTGGTTATCTATTAACTCTGTTTGCACAGAGAGCCGGTGTCAGGAAACACACCAATACTGCAGAGAGCAGAAAGGCCAGCAATACTGCTTACACTCCTGACAAAGATTTAATTGGTGCCTATGTGCTGTCCTGGCACTCCTTACGGTGGTGCATTTGCGTTGAGAGAGCAGGTGATGGGCAAGAAGAATCAGAATATCCAGTTCTTCAGCTTACGGGCAAGAACTGTACAGTCCAGCAACCGCCAAACATAAGGCAGCTGCACTGGCTGGAGCAGAGGCTCTCAGTGCCCTGGCCTGGGAGAACACACTCATCTTCCTCAGCACACAGTGGGATAAAATCAGGTAGAAAAGATCACTACAGTGCAAAGCAGAATGGGGGTGGCCATGGCAAAGCACCTCTGTTTGGTATCTTCTCTCCTGCACAGCCACACGGAAACTAGCCCAAGCTCTTCTTTGCCCTTCAGCTACAAAGCGGCACAACAGAGCTGGGCAGGCTGGTTATGCCTTGCAGAACTTGAGAAAAACAGGTGGCCCTATGATGGCTGCTGTGCACTCAAGGACATGATCTTGCTAGCTCACGATTAGCTGCAGAAACAGCAAAGAGGAAAG